GCCCATTAAGTCATATACATCAATATTATTCAGCCCATAACTGGAACATAAATTTGTGTCGAAAAAGAGAAACATGATTTTAAGAAAGAAAATCACTGTGTTAGGACCTTTTGGACAGAATATATTAAATTGAAAATGCCAGATATAAATACTAGTTCATCTTTTATAAAAAAAAAAACTTTAAAATTTTTAAATAGACAGTGTATAAATAAAAGCAATATTTCACGCAAGAGCAAAATATGAGAAAGGTTTTGGCTTTTGACTTTGATTTATATATCTTAAAATTTTGGGAATTTCAGGTCTACAAAACCGATGTATGCAGCAAGAGTCTGTCACCAGTGTGGAACTCCGACGAGTTCGTTTTCGAGACCGATGAGCAGCGACTTTTTGATAACCCAATCCAGTTTCGGTAAGAGATTTCCCAAGATTCTTGGATTGCATGAAACTGAACACTCGTTGGGCGGGTGTAACGGCTCACATGTGCTTCAGTCTGATTGATCACTAACTTTAGCGTGATAGATTACTTGTTCCAGCATCATGGATCATTTATTTCAGCGTTATGGATCACGATACTTACAGCGCCAATGATGCCATCGGGCGCGTTTTCTACGATGCCAATCTGCTGATTTCAAAAATTCGCTGCTCTAGCAAACCCAATGATAATAATGATTTTGTGGAATTCACTAATTGGCTACCAATTTACGACTCAGTTCACGGTATGCTGTTTCTTCCGTTTTTTTGCATGTACTGTGTAATAGCTGCACAGAATGCATATTGTCATACCTCTGTCTGTGCGTGTCCGTATATGTGTCTGTCATAATGTGTTTTGTCCCGCACTTTCAACTTGAGAACCACAGATGCTAGGAAGCTGAAATTTTAAAGGAATGCCCCCCTATCCAAATGTGACACCGCAAATTCAGATTTAGCAAAGCTAATATACGACTTTTAGCATGCTGGTTGATTACAGGTATACGAGGCGATATTCAAGTGACTATTGCACTGAAGTTGCTGTTGTCAAGCGGGCACGATGGATATGTACGTATACTTTCAGGTTATTCACGTTGTATTACTGCATGTTCAGTCACTTGCCGAAAAACACTGTTTTAGGGTCAGGGGGTTTCCAGAAGTATCTTCGGAGTTTTGCAGCAAGTGTCGTTCCTGCAACTCTAGCAGTCTCCAATATTGTGGGTTTGGTTTCTGATATTGCGTCAGTGAGCGATCCGGAATATGAATGGTTTGATCGAATTCGTACGCCGCGTGCCTCAAACGAGGCTCGGCAGAGTATGATTCGGAAGTCGCTGCGAGAATTGGCAAGAAATATTGCGCAAAAAGCACATTCACTTGGATCAAATGCGGTGATAGGGTATCGTTTCACTTCCACAGAATGACCAGCATACTTTCTGGGATGCGTGATCACTGCGTTTCCGCTAGTGGCTAATGTATACATTGTCAGCTTATTTGGCATTTACTAAAACTTGGCGCGGCCGTGAGGTTGGAGACGGAAGGAGTGGGTGAGGATCGGAGGTAGTGGTAGTGGAGGGGAGGAACGAAGTCGCTGACTGAGGAGGATTTGAGACCCCGCTTGGAATTGGAAGCGGGGGGGGGGCGACGTTTAGGAAGAGAGTGCCACTGTGGGTTTTTTGTGTTCAACCTAAAAGTTGATGCAGAAGGAAAGTTAGCAATCTTGAACGCGACAGAACCTTACCTAGGCGAAAAACTTAGTGATACGGTTTTCGCAACTCGAACTGGAACCGGCCGGAAATGAGCGCATATTGCGGGGCCGAGCGAAGCCGAAACGAATTTCTGCAATTGCTGCAGCTTCCCTCTTTTACTGTTTGAGATCATATCATCCGTTGTCATACAGGCGAATTTTTTGTATGTGATTTGGAAGTTAAGCAATCTGTTTCATTCTTTGTAATCTCGTAACTTTGCCTGCCTTAGATGCGCGACTGTTTTTAATGATATTTTTTGCGGTTGGCAATGCATGCCTACAATTGCAAGATTTCAAGAAATTTTGCAGCTGCTTTTGCAATGTCTGATCTTTTCAGGTACCAAGAATTTGTTGATATCGAAGGTGATGCTACTGAACTGATTACATTTCGTGCTTTTGGGACGGCTGTAAAGTTGGTGCAAAATGGCGAAAGTGCTGCAGTTGATGAGAAAATCACACAGCAGCAACAACAGATCCTGTCTATAAACACACTTCCAGAAACATACCGGTACGAGTATGGTGTGGTAGTGTGTGCTCGTTCTGCACAGCTGTTAACTGATGATAGCGACAGTGGCTTGGTCAGGAAAAGGTTGGTCTACCGTTCATATCGCTTGGTTTTTCTTGTTCTTTTTACGGGGTTAAATACTTTTGATTGTTATTGCTTATAGGTGGTGGAATGAATTGAAAGCGGAGCTTCTTCGCCAGGCATCCAGTTTACGGTGCAATTTGGTGCTGGGCTACACCGAACAGATCAGCGTGCGCAAGAAAACGGCTTTATTAAGTTGTACAGGAACTGCCGTATCAGTGGTAGCGGTTGGGAATGAACACATCCCAAACTGCATCCGATTTCATTCCGCATGTTTCGATGACAGTTCACCGATGGGCGCAGATTCCGGTGTCTGTTCCTACTGCAAGTCTGCACTTTTCTGGGCTTTTTTTCCTAACATACTGCATAAATTCCGCTGCTTACTTTCGCTGATATGGCCTGTTGTTGTATGAATTCAGTCCTGATCTTCAGCAGCAACCTAGTTTGTTATTCAGAGGAGGCTTTTATCGCTTCACGAAACGGGAGTGACTTATAAATTCCGTCCACATATGGCTGCTTTCACTGAAACGTTACGTGTTTTTTTCCAATCGCTCTAGCAGACTGTTGATCAACGTTGTTGCAGCACTTGTTTTGATATGTTTTACCTTATCCTGTGACTTTTACCTCGAGCACAATGGCATAGCCTCGACTGCTGAAAACCAAAAAGAACAGAGGGGAACATTTTAAGGTTTGAACGAGGGAGGTTAGCCTGAAAGTTTACTTTCATTTCTCGAAAAGTTGCAAGAGATAAAGCCGTGCTGCACGCCGAATTTCGTTTTTTTCTGATGGCGATAGACTTGTACTCATGCATCTAGTGTTCCTACTTTTGCGATTGTTTTCAGTGATGCAGTTTGTCCAAGTATTATCCTAAGTACCTGTTCACCTCCGTCGTCAGATTACCTACAAGGTGCCACTCATCCGCTGCAAGCATATGTCACACGTGAGCTCAGTTCATCTGAAAGTGATGAGCAACTTGTATATACTATTAGTCACGTTAGTTTTTTCTACAATTTCATGCTGAACTATAAAAATCAGCCTTTTGCTGTTCGTGACTCACTCGATGCAGCCGCTTTTTGATTATGAAAAATATCACTCCTGAATGTTACTTTGATCGCTTGCATATGATGGTTTCTTTTTTAGCGTAATGGTTTATTTTGCATTTTTGCAGATGTTACCATTCTTGGAGCATGAACTCTTCAACAGATTAATGGAAGAGGTGCGTTCCGGTGGCGCCAAATACAACGCTGTTTTCGACTTAAAATCAGTAATGGTGATTCATGAAGGGGTGTTATTCGCAGTTTGCACGGGCACACTTTGCACTCTTAAAGCTTTATTGGTTGGTTTCTTGTAACGAATTTTTGAGCAGTTAGTGCTAGACGAAGGAAATGAGTGTGATTTAAGTCAGATTCCTTTAGAAACCTCCAGATGCTGATAACATTTTGAGTCGCTCTGATTCGTTGCATTATCGTGGTGATCTCCAACCAAAACCCTCGACATCTCGAGTTGGATTATTAGAAGCTGCACGCATCCTGCGTGCACCAAAATCTTCCGATAAAGTCGCACTTCATTTGCAGCCGTTCCAGATCCGGTTAGTTCTTTCAGTTTTATAATTTTGCCAGAAGTGAGAGGAGGAGGAGGAGGCGCAACGTTTAGAATATGGCCGCAGTAATATTTTCAGAGAGCCTGTGGATGATTGCACGAAAGGATCACAACAGTCGCATTATATGAAGCGGATGTTTAGGCGTTTTCGAAAGAAAGTGGTTGATCGTGATCATCTTGCAAAAATGATTTCAGAACGCGAGGTTAGCTTGCAGCTGGGCGCTTTCGATGATATGAAGCCAGCCAGTTCGTCGCCAAGCACATATTCGGGCATTAAAATTATCAACGGCTCAAAGTTCACTCTCAGTACTGCATCTGCTAAGGCTTCGAACTTACCCCAGCGGTGAGTATTTATTCAGTTGTTCTGCTTGAAGGTTTTATGGTTTTGAGAAGGTGCAGTAAACATAGATCACCCACCCACTAATCCCAGCAGAGGTTGACAAATCCGCTGTTTCATTTTTGTCCCTGTTTGTGCCACCAGCGAGCAGACATCCGGGCCTGCTTTAACATTGTCCCAGGCTGCAGTAATGCTAAAAATTTTTTGCATTTTTTCATCCATAAGCGGATACATTTGAATTCAAAAAAAAAAAGAATCTAAAAATCCTGAAATATTTTCTTTCCGAAGTGCTTGTTTGATATGCTGTTACAAAGGATTAGGTAATATTGAAGTGCGGCGAAGTACAGAGCCGGACAAGTTAAAGCATGCCGAGAAGACCGTCGCTTTTTGCGAGGAAGTGGAGGCATCGTGGATGAAATATTGTTTGCAAGTGGTAACACAATAAAAACCATACCGCTACAGACAAAACGCAAAATGTGTGCTATACTGCTTGGCATATTATGTAGTTTAAACTGAGGGAATAAAAAAGTGTTAGTGCGCAGCGGAAGACGGGTGAAGTTGTATGGTTCTGCGGTAAGCTGCTGCCAAAAGAAACTGCAGAGTTCAGAACATAGGTTTAATATTGGTCTGTTTAGGTCCATAGGTCAAGATCCAGTAATGCCTGAAACTTGATTCCATCTCTTCTGCTGCTGACTTTCTGGTGGATTAATCCAGTTAGGAACGAGGATTGCACTCATACCCATACAGTTATTGCTTTTGGATTTAAAATTCTTTCAGTTACGCTGGTATTTTAATACGCGAAGTGACACGAACAATAGAAGATATAGCTGATTTGGACGCATTTCTCGAAGGAGCGTTTCGAGATTTGGTATGCTTAGCAGTCAGTCAAGTGGAAACAGTTGGAGCAACATCGTTTTCGGTGTTCAGGGTACCCTCAATGAGTCTTTCAATCTGCCGCGATCAGGCATCAATTCTTTTATTTATCACTGCGGATTTCGATTATTTATTCACTTAGTTCATGAACTCAGATATGATTACCATTTCCCTGTTTTGTGTACGTTCACGATTCTCAGATTACTGTGATAACTAAAGACTCTGTTACACTATTAACTTTTTTAGCCATGCCCATCAATTTTGTCTTTCCGATCGCACTCATTTTTGCTAAACTGAAACTTATGTCATATTTGTTGTTCCGATGATGTTAGGAAGTCTTTGT